GGGGGTTGAAAAGATTGCCTACATTGCATCCACACACCTTGCCAATTCCCTGTCCAGCACGTTATACCGCAAGCTGCACATGTAGAAAGAATGCACCCAGCAAAGTGCAAACTCAAAGGTGTGGTCCTGCTGTAATCAAAGTCCTTCCTTGCTTGATCTCTCGCCTTTCGTGAATCTAGCCAGTTCAGTAGCAGAAAAGTTATGATAATCCCCTCTCCGCACACGAGCGCAGCCCAGAGGTTGAACTGGGAGGCAGATTCTGACAATGATCACAACATCAAGACACAATAGCAAGCAGAGATGTGATCCAAACTTGAGCAAGCATGATGATGATGATGATAAAGCACCGCAAAGCTGCTTGGATAGAGGTTTGTTTGGTAACAAGAGGGAGAGGGGAGAGGAGGGGGGGTCGGGCTTGAAAAAGGCCTTGAGGCCTAGCTGTCTTTGGTGGTCGGTGATAAGGGTATTATAGACATTGACACAAGAAAAGACGTCAGGAACAATAGACTTGTCAGAGACCAGCGGAAAGATGGGCCGGCGAATTCTTCTGCGATCCGCAACAAACTGGCAGGAAAGTCTGCTGCTCGTTTTGGCATAACTTATTTGCAGCAGCAGATTGCAACGTGATCCGCAGAATTTTTAGCAAACTCCTCGCATTATATACTTCCTTTTTTATATAGTTTGTTACAGTTTGCTTGTCTTGTTTGTTCTCTTTTGTTCCACCTCCTTTGTTCAAATTACTCCGCGGAAAATTTGGAGAGAGGTAGAGAAGTAGCGTCGAACGATTTGAGAAGTTACATGGAAGAAACAGTGAAGTTTCATTTGCAATTCCTCATTTCTGTTTAAAAAAACAAAACTTCAGTGGTTCTGAAAAACTGCTTCGCCTTCTTTTGCCTTTTTCTATGCATGCATGTGTCCGACAACAGGTCCAGGTGCAACCACACGGCCTGCCAGCACTGTCACACTGCCTGTTGAATAGTGTCGATCACCAGATTGTTGGGGTTCGAACCAAGGATCAGCACCCCCAAAAAGTGCCAAAAAAGTGACCTTTGAAAGGCCTTCCACGATTCAGACCCCAAATTTGAGTTCAGGGTCAGAGGCCAGGGCCAAGAATGGTCTAGTCAGTCAGTTTCAGAAAAGACACAATCGGGTACCTGTAGCAGTCAAGTCGAATAGGCACCCGACAAACAGTCTCACAATGAAAAGTCATTTTGGAAAGTCATCCCATGAGCAAAGGACACTTCCACAAGGCCAGAGTCGTGTCCCAGAGGCAAAAGTCACAGTCCACAGTCAAACCAAGTGTCAAAATCGAAAAGTTGTGACTCAAAGGCCCAAGCAGCAGCACACCAATGAAAAACCGGGAAGGTTCCAGGCCCTGACATTCGAAAGCAGACAGGCTGTGGGGATGTGATACCGGAACCAAGTCAAGCCCCAGGAAGCAGACGCTGGGCCGAGTTGAACACCAGTCCAAGACAATATAAGGACTGGCCAGCCTCCTCATTTGGGCAGATCGCTCATTCGCAAGAAATGTGTAAGTGCTGGTGCAATTGTGCGCTGTAGTGAGGGGCAGAGCGCTGAGCCAGGTCGCTGCGCTGTGTGTGTGCTGTCTCTTATACACATCTAGATGTGTATAAGAGACAGGGTCCAGGCGCAGCCAGACATCTCTGCCAAAATGGA